AACACTGTGATTTTTTTTTTTTTTCAGAACAAAAAAGTTTATAATAAGCAAAAACGAATAGCAAGTTGCTATACGAAAGCACATCTAGAAATTACAAGCATTAACCGGGGAACAACACGAATTGAACCAATTGCGAGTAATAGTTTTGCTCTATGTTTAATCTTTAGCTAAAAATTTTGATGCGTGGATCTTGTACCTAGTATATTGTAAGCACATAAAATGATACAACTCATAGTGGTATTCAAACTAGTTTAATCGAACGAACTTAAATATGTAAACGGTGTTAATAACATGATTATGGAACTCGGAAATATGAGAATATGATCCTTTGTCTCAACTTGTTCCATTCGATAATCTATTCAACAAAATCATACACGATTACCTTAAAAATGTGTTTCGAAGAGATAACTAAAAAAAATACATGGTAAAGGAATATTATGATAATGTTATTTTTTTTTTTTTTAAATAAGATTGTATTTGAAGTAAGAATATAAAAAAATTTAAACTTTGTGATGTTAGTAATGGATATTAAATGAATAGGGCATTAAATTTTGTGATGTTTATCGAATATGTTTTGAACTTTGTGATGGATATCAAATAAAATATCGAACAAGATCAATATCGAATAAAACTTTGAACTTTGTGATGTATAACAGATAAAAATTAACTTTTGTGACCATTATTTTTCTTTTAATTTTATGATTTTTGTTGAATAAAACTTTAAACTTAATACTAAATGCCAAATAAAACTCTAAACTTTGTGATGGATATCATATTGAATAAAGTTTTGAAGTAGTTTATTCATTATACAACATTTTTTGTTTAACCAACATTCAAGCATACTAAAGTACTACTAGCTTTGAACATAAATTGATTATAATGTGTTTACATATACAAGATATGAGTCGTTACAAATTTTACTTCAATTAGAACATCCTACCTGTTAAAAAAAAGACTAATTTGACGGGGATAACGGAAACCTAGAGTTGGTTACAATTTTAGTGGCTAAATTTCGAATTTTATTTGTTTGGTGGCTAAATCTGGAAACATTTTAGCTTAGTCTCAAGAATCAAAGAATTACAAACACACCCCTCGTAGTCTTCCAACACTAAAAAAAGCTTTTGGCCTTCGCCTCCTCGTTCTCTCTTTTCTGAGTAGGGTTGCAGCAGATAAACGCCACCACTCGCTTCTCTCTCTCTCTCTCTCTCTCTCTCTCTCTCTCTCTCTCTCTCCAGTGACCTAAAGGCCTTCACTGAGCTACCGAACCTCTGTGTGTTTGTGTATTTATACATCTACTTTCTCTCTCAAGAAGTGTCTAATTTGCAAGACACAATGGGCGCTTCGCTACCTCCCAAGGAGGCCAACCTGTTCAAGCTAATCGTCGTAAGTTTTTCAGTCTGTATTGATTTAATCACTGTATTAATCTGTTATTTCTTCTGCCAGTCTATCTGAAGAACCCTAGTTTTTTGGTTGTACACAACTATCTCGTTGACTGTTACGTGTAGATGAAATTGGATCGTCAATTGTAATTATGAAGTGTGTTTTGTTCGTTATGAATTAGAGTAAAGATACGACTTTTATGTAGTACTAACTGGCAGCAAGTTCCTTTTTTTTACTATTCATGCATTTGATGCATCACATTGAATGAACTTTGAATTGGTACTTCGTTCTGATGGATAAAAAATTAAGATTGATGTTACATGCAACACTATAGAGGACAGTGTAGCGGTTTATTTAACTGGATTTGCATCAAAGAACATTTTCTTCACACTAGTATGGATGACTGAGAGTCTGAGACAAAGTCAAAGTTGTTATGCACATTTGTGTAATAGCCATTCCAACCAAATTCTTGGTGTTCACTGTTCATCCATGAACCTTAAATTCTAATTGCAATATTGAGTACAAAATACATGCATTTCTGCATAATATAATATTTTAGTTGCAACAGTGCTGCCAACTTCTTAATATTACCAGCATCATTGTCTGACTGTGTTAAGTGGTTTGATAATGTTTGAGACATTCTCTCTTGATTGTATGTTTGCCAGAAATCTTATGAAACAAAACAGTATAAAAAGGGGCTGAAGGCTGCAGATGCTATATTGAAGAAGTTCCCAGATCATGGAGGTTTGTTTATGTTATAAGTTATTATCTAGTATTCTAGTGCTACACTCAATTGTACCTTTGATTATTAGTTTTTACTATTCTTCCATTTTGGTTTCTAGAAACTCTTTCGATGAAAGGATTGACATTGAATTGTATGGACCGAAAGTCAGAAGCATATGAGCTAGTACGATTGGGTTTAAAGGTCGGAATTGTTTCTTTTCATCATATTTCACATTAAATCTTAAATGTTTTTCTTTCTTTTTGGTCTGTATATATCTAATATGAATTTTAGCATCACTTGTTTCATTGTAGAATGACTTGAAAAGCCATGTTTGCTGGCATGTTTATGGGCTTCTGTATCGGTCAGACAGAGAGTATAGGGAGGCAATTAAATGTTACAGAAATGCTCTGAGGATAGATCCTGACAATATTGAAATCTTGAGGGACCTATCACTTCTACAGGTGGGCATTCTTGCATTATATATCTCATATTTTATCTTCTTTTGGGTAGTTAATGGTGTTTTTTGTCCTCTACATACAGGCACAAATGCGGGATTTGTCAGGTTTTGTTGAAACCAGACAACAATTGTTGACTTTGAAACCAAATCATCGCATGAATTGGATTGGTTTTGCAGTTTCTCATCATTTGAACTCAAAGTAAATTGTGATATACTTTTATACTCAAAAACTACTATTCACATGTTTCTATTTCCTGAACCTTCCAGAAGATTTTGTTAACCTTTATGTTGCTTTGCCAGTGCTTCAAAAGCTATTGATATTCTAGAAGCATATGAAGGGACTCTTGAGGATGATTATCCTCCAGATAATGAACGTTGTGAGCATGGTGAAATGTTGTTATATAAGGTAATATGACTAATATCTGTAATAGAGTAAGCAATTGAAACTTGAAAGAATGCCTTTTTATGTGCCTTTGTTGTCATACAGATATCTTTATTGGAGGAATGTGGATTGATTGAGAAAGCTCTTCAGGAGTTGAACAAGAAAGAATTCAAGATTGTAAGTTCATTGCCTATTAGTTTCAAAATGGTATAAATAAGAGAAAAAATTGGATTAATTGTCATTGTCATCTTCTGCAAATGCCATTCTAGGTTGATAAGTTATCCTACAAGGAAGAGGAGGTTTCTCTTCTTGTGAAACTTAATCGCTTTGAAGAAGGTGAAAAGTTGTATAGAGTTCTCCTATCAATGAATCCTGACAACTACAAGTAAACCTTTTTTAGCTTTTATGAGCTTCAATTTAGAAAAAAAAATGAATATTAATTGACCTCTTTTATCACTTAGATACTATGAAGGATTGCAAAAGTGTGTTGGATTACACTCAAAGATTGGTCAATATTCATCTGAAGAAATTGATCAGTTGGACACATTGTACAAATCACTTGCTCAACAATACACCTGGTCTTCTGCTGTTAAGGTGATATAAATTACAACATTTTTTACTTAAAATTGAAACTTTTCCCCTATCTAAATTACAACATTTTGTTTTTAGAGGATCCCCTTAGATTTTCTGGAGGGTGTAAAATTCCGTGATGCAGCAGATAACTATGTTAGGCCTCTCCTAACAAAGGTACTTAAATTTGTATTATTTATTTATTTATTTTGTTGATTTGGTGACCCTTTTTTTGTCACAAACTCTTACATTTGTTAATGTCACATGCAGGGTGTCCCTTCACTATTCTCTGACCTTTCTCCTCTATATAATCACCCTGGAAAGGTTTGTGCAAGCTACCACTTTCACAAAATTAAAAAAACTCTGAATTTTCTTGATTTCTTCTTTTACTATGGAAAATCTTTACCCTTTTTTATAGGCTGATATTCTTGAAAAATTACTCCTTGATATTGAGGAATCAATCAAGACAACTGGTGGATACCCCGGAAGGTAATTTATTAATTTGTGGATTATGTATTTAATCCCTTTTCAGATTTTTTAAATTAACTTCCAGTTTTTTAAACTAATGTGTTAAATCTAATACAGGTCAGAAAAAGAGCCACCCTCAACACTTATGTGGACCATGTTTTATTTGGCTCAGGTTTGTCTTCACTTGATTTTATAAAATTTCCTTTTTCTCATTTTTATAAACTATAAAGTTTTCCTTGTGTAGCATTATGACAGACGAGGGCTGTATGATATTGCTCTTGCTAAAATCGATGAAGCCATGCAACACACTCCAACTGTTATCGATTTATACTCTGTCAAGGTCTGTTTTTAAAAAAAAAAAAAAACTTCTTTTACATTTCTTTATAAAAAGTAACAACATTTACCTGTGAGATTTCTAATTGTTCAGAGCAAGATATTAAAACATGGTGGAGACTTTACAGCAGCTGCTGCTTTAGCAGATGAAGCTAGGTGCATGGATCTTGCAGATCGTTATGTAAATAGTCAATGTGTCAAACGAATGTTACAAGCTGATCAGGTCAACACCTCTAAATAATATATATATTTTTTTCACTTATTATGTTTCTGTATGATATTTTATTTATTAATTTACTTTTTTTGTATTTTTTATTATAGGTTCCACTTGCAGAAAAGACAGCTGTATTGTTCACAAAAGATGGAGATCAGCACAATAACCTTCATGATATGCAGTGCATGTGGTTAGTTTTTCTTTATTACAAATAAGTTTTAGAACAAATATCTATATTTTTTTAATTTTTAAAATTTTTAGGTATGAACTTGCTTCTGGAGAAAGTTATTTGAGGCAGGGTGATCTTGGACGTGCTTTGAAAAAATTCTTGGGTGTAGAGAAACATTATGCAGATATTACAGAAGATCAATTTGATTTTCATTCTTATTGTTTAAGAAAAATGACTCTGCGTGCTTATATTGAAATGTTAAGGTTTCAAGATCGACTTCATGCACATAATTACTTTAGGAAGGCAGCAGTTGGAGCTATAAGGTAATGCTGATGATTCAGTTACATTTGTAAAATAATCTCTCATTTATTTATATTCTATACCTTTTGAAATTTGATTTTTTTTGTATTGTTTGATGCAGATGTTATATTAAGCTGTATGATTCTCCTTCAAAGCCGTCTACTGAAGAAGACGATGAGCTGGCAAAACTCCTGCTTCTCAGAAAAAGAAATTGAGGCAAAAACAGAGGAAGGCTGAAGCACGAGCTAAGAAAGTATTAATTCTTTACATTTTATGGATACAAAAATTGTTTTTTTTTGTTTAATAATTATTTTGTTCTATGTTTTCTTAAGGAGGCAGAAGTGAAAAGTGAGGAAGCAGTGGGTGGTGTTTCCAAGTCTGGGAAACGAAATGTCAAGCCAGTTGATCCAGATCCACATGGAGAGAAGCTATTACAGGTACCCCCCCAAGATGCAATATTGCTTGATGGAATTACTCTTGTAATCTTTTGTAAATGTAAATGTTAGACTGAATATCCGTTAATGGAAGCTGGAAAGTATCTAAAGCTGCTTCAGAAACATTCATCTGATTCCTTGGTGACACATTTGCTTTCTTTTGAAGTAAATATGCGAAAACAAAAGATCTTGCTTGCATTACAGGTAATCTTATTTCAAATAAAAATATGGAGGGAAATTAAAAAAAAAAGAACTAGTTTCTTATATTTGATTTGGATAATAACTTAACTAACTTTTGTGTTTCATCAGGCCCTGAAGCAACTACAACGATTAGATGCTGGAAACCCGGACTCTCACCGATGCTTGGTATCCCAACAAGCAAATTAATTACTCTGATAGTTGTATTTTTTATAATTTTTTTTTTATTTCTCAATAAAAAATCATATTTCATTCTTTTTACAGATAAGATTCTTCCATAAAGTGGCATCAAGGCCAGCTCCTGTCACTGATGGTGAAAAACTGATTTCTGGTGTCCTTGAAGCAGAGCGACCTACTTTCAGGTTGTTAAATTGATTATTTAATTACCTTTTACAACATTAATCTTTTTTTATTTTTTATGTATTGTGAAATAAATTCTGGGTTTTCTCTTTTGTAGTCAGTTGCATGACAAATCTCTGATGGAGGCAAATACTATTTTCCTCGAACAACATAAAGGTTATTTCTTACTTTACCATTAAAGGGATAAATACAAGAAATATTAATTATATATTTATATTCTTGATGTTATTATGTAGATTCCTTGATGCACAGAGCAGCAGTTGCTGAGATGATTTACTGTTTAGAACCAAACAAGAAAGGAGAGGCGATTAAATTAATACAAGATTCACCCAATAACCTTGTGTCTAGGTAAATCTGACTCATAAAATGCATCATATATATATTTTTATTGGCATCATAAATTTATAAACAATATTACCTTTTAATCAAATGGACAATTTCATTATCAAGTGTTCATATATATACTAAAAAGTATGCTGTGTTTTTTAATCAGTAATGGATCGGTTAGAGAATGGAAGCTTAAAGACTGTATTGCAGTTCGCAAAACATTGGAGGCTATTTTCAATGATCATGATGCTGCATCCAGTAAGTTTTTTTTTTTTTTTTTTTTTTTTTTTTTTTTTTTTTCAAAGTTTTTTCTAGAAAACAAATCCGACCTTAGTTCCCATGATATATAATTCTTAGGTCGGGGGAAATAGGATACTGTTTTGTATGACTGGAATCAGGGTAGGAATAGAATGGGCCATTCTTCAGGGAATGTGATTCCATCTATTTTGTTACTTTTAATTCTTTAGTCAGATGGTGTTTTTTTTAAACATGATCATAGTATGTAATTACTCATTCCATTACTTTGCTTATTCCATTCCATTCTATCAAATACCATCACGGAATATAACTTTTCTGTTTTGTAGGATGGAAAGTCCGATGTGCAGATTACTTTCCGTACTCGACCTACTTCGAAGGCCGCCATTGCTCTACTCTCACCGGAAACAGCGATTCCAAACATTCACACGCTGAAAATGGATCGATTCCATTCCTTCCATCAAATGGAAAAGTAGAAAAGGGAATAAAGAATCTAGCAATATAAACAACACAGGAATAGAAATCATCTCGTGCGTAGAACTTAAATGACAAGATTTGATCAATTACAAAATCATGTTGCAGGTTTGGAGAGAAAATGGCACCTCACACAACCAGGTACTCAAAATGTTTTTGTTTAGTGTTTATTTAAGGGACAAAATCATGTGTATACTTGAGATGTGTTTTTTTTCAGTTAAAGTATTTGATGTCTTTTTAGTGTTGATTTTGGAGGATTTTTAAGATGAAGAGATAGTTGGGAATACCTCGAGAGTATGTTGTACTTGGTCTTTTTTTTTCTTTTTCTTTTTTTAATTTTTTATAAGTTTATCATGTACAAATGCTATGGAAATTTTGGCATTGAATATTTTTACTACTACAAACACGTTGATGTTTTGACGTTATTCCCATATGTTTGTTTTGTCTGAATCGAATTATGTGTGATGGTTATCGAGTTAAAATAGCCCACATTGATTTTTTGGAATCAATGGAAGATACGTTTCTAAACTCCTATTGATCACATGTGCAACCAAACGCTGATAGATGTGATAGAAGCCCGAGTGACCACCAGTTATCCATGTTTTGAAAATCAGACAGTTGAACTAGTTTAATCGGGATAAGCTGATTCGGTTAATTAGACAAACTGGGTGGTTAGGTTAAACCAGTTTGATTATACGGGTTATATATATATATATATATATATATATATATATATAATATAGTATAGATAGATATATATATATTATATAATATATATATGGGAATCATTATTAACAAGGAACCAATGAACCAACGTCGAAAATCATAATGATCAACGATTAAAGGAATGGTTGTAGATTTGTACATTGAACGTCCATGCATCAGACATCAGATTATACAAAAAAACCCATCTTTTTTCGTTAAAATTTTTTAGGCCATGTTTTTTATCGAAAAAAAAAACCGAATATACAAAATTTCATAATTTTTTTATTTTTTTTCATAGACATCCATATTGATATGTAAACATTTTTTTTCGAAAAAAAACCCTATTCGTTTTATAGTTTTTTTTTTAATTTTTTTTAAATACTTAGGTTTATTTTTTATCCAAAAAAAACAAAAAATATCAAACATCTCAATTTTTGTCATCTATTAATAGACATCAACATCAATAAAAAAAAACACTTTGATCTGTACAGATTCACAGTTCACACTGTGAATCTGAACTGTAAATATTTCAGTTTTAACATTGACGATGTGAATTTGACTTACTATTTCAACTATTTGATCATTCACAAATTAATTTAGTGAAATTTATATATGAATCAAAATGGGATACATACAGAAAAGAACAACCAATTATATATGTATACTCAGAAAAACCCTTATATTATATATTCAGAAAAACCATTATATTAATAGTTACCATTCGAAAAAGACCAAAATATGGTTTTTTAAGAGAAATTGACAACTAAAAATCTAATGCTTCTTACATTTTTATTTTTTTTAATACGACACTTATTTTAATTTGGGATAAAAACGATTAGTTAATAAAAGAAAAATCAACCATATAGATAACACAATCGAGTGGAAGTAATCTAAATGTATGTCAGTTTGACATGATCTTGCATACAATCAAAGAAATATAAGGGATATGTACATCACATCATATTTTTAGCCGGTCATTTCTCTTAAAATTTTACGATTTGGTTTTATTTGAAACGTAAATAATAATATAAGAGTTTTTCTGTACATAAAAATAATATAAGTGTTTTTCTGCATATACATGTATAATTGGTTGGGTTTTTTTGCATTTATCCCAATATATATATATATATATATATATATATATATATATATATATATATATATATATATAATATATGAATAATTTACTTTGATTTATTCATAGGAGATTTCAATCGTCGAAAGACATACATACAGATTATTAACTATGCCTAGCCATAAACGTGAGCGTTACAAAAGTTGATTTTGTAACTCATGGGATTGAAAGTTCATCAGTGGATGAAGGAACAAGTGTAAGTTCAAGCACCATCTTCGGCAAATAATTTCAAACTTATTTGATTTTCGATTAGAAGGATAAGAGAGATGCAGTCATTGTAAGCTGATATATGAACATGTAAGCATTTTTTGTGCGTTTGCACCTAAGTGCTTTAGATATGGTCGGAAGGATCATTAGAAAAGGGCCAGTTAGAGCACGACAAGTTGAGTGTCCTAGGGAAGAGGGAGTAATCGTATTGAGATCAGCAATAGTCGTTATTACTAGTGATTCCCATTACGTCGGTACTACCTTTTGTACCATTTTGTACACGTGTACGTTGATACACGAATTCGTTCTTATCGTAATCTTGATTGGTCTATGATTGTGTTATACGAGAAGATCACTCTTTGTGGGGACAAAAAATGATACTATGATAGGGATGTTAAAGTCATTGATATGACAATCATGAGTTTCTTCCGAGAAGAAAGGAAGCTACAAGTCACAAATGCATAACCAGATTAGGCTTTGATTAGTCGTGAGTAGCAACATATGAGGGTTCGAACCCAAGTCAGGGTGAACCAACCGTTAAGACAAAAGTGTGAAATTCAACTCGACTTTTGTTTTGATGTCAAGGACCAGGAGAGTTGCAAAATAAGAAGCTAGTAAAATATATTAGCTTTGGTTTTGTTATTAGATGTTCGAATGGGTATGTTGTTTTTCAGGTGAGGATACGACATCCGAGGGAACTTGAAATCTTTACCAATACCTGTGGATAATTGGAACGAGCTCATCTTAGATCATATCATTAAGTGTCTTGTAATCGTGTAGAACCAATATGAGTTGTAAATTATAATTGGCCAATTGATAAAAGGATAACTTTTTGAGTATCGCATAGGACTGATCTATAAAGAATGTTTTCATAAGACTCATAAGTAAAGATTTGATTTAAGATTATCCTCCAATTTTCTTAAAAAATACTTATTCTAGTGATAAAATGAAAACAATTGTGGCATAAAAAATCAAAACCCGAAGAGGACACGAATCAGTAAAGATCATGAACTTTGTCATCTAAATCCTTAGTAGATAAGGAGGAAAAAGATTGTGCGGGGTAATTCTGTGAAAAAGGGTCATTTGGTTATAGTGAAACTTTAATCAACAAAGTTGATGTTTCAATAATAAGACTAGGTCGACAGGCTGATAAGCTGTCATAAAGGAACCTAGGATATTGTGTTTAGTATAAGAAAACGGCGTGAGTTGATTTAGTATTGTGAGAGCATGGTACAAAGACAATTTTTACTTAAGAAAACTGAAAGCTAGTGGCGGGTATCACACTTATTCATTGAGTTTGTGATTTCGTTTCGGGGACGAAATCATCATAATGGGGGGATAATTGTAACACCCATTACTTAGGGATAAATAGTTAAGAGATTTTAGTTATAATTATTCATTTTATTTGATAGTTAAAACTATCGAGTATGATAATTATTCGTTATACACATTACGGGCTATATATAAATATACATTTAATATATGCATTTTGTAAGAACAAATATTATAATGTTTGTAAAAAAATCTTATCTTAAAATTTATTGTTAAAGCGACAAAATAAAATGTAAAAATAAGTTATTATTTAGGTAAAACAGTTTAATGAAAGTTGTTGTAGTCGTGATGACGATTCCATGAGTATAAAGAACGCCTAAACCTGACTTCATATGAGGAAGTTATGAATTTTCAAAGTTTCGCGTTCAACCCTATACAACAATGCGTGTCATAAAAAGTGAAATGAAAAATTGATTGCTTTTTATCCAAAACAATATAAACAAATGTCAGAGTTCTCTTAAACACGAAACCGTCGATATAGAGAACGTCGAGAATGGAGTTCGTATGAAAAAGTTATGAATTTTGCACGAACTTTTAGAGTGTAATCTTCATAGACTGTAAAATTAAAAATAAAATGAGAATTAGCCGATGGAGTCTAAACTAAAGTTGTAGTACTCGTCGATACGGAACCAGGGTTATAAAAAACGTTGAAAATGGAGCTCGTATACGAAAGATATGATTTTTCGAAGATTTAATATTTTGCCTGCTAACTGTGAAGTCGACCCATTCAATGAGTGCCACATGTCAGTACGAGAACGGAGCCTTTCCGCTTACACTGAGGCGCGACGCGCTTGGCAAAAAGAGTGACACGACCCCATTAAAAACAGCCTATAAATAGCCTTTAATGGCTCATTTGTTTTTCACACCTTCACTTATGGGTTTCTCTCTCTAGAGGCCCTTTCCCTCTCTAGAAATCTGACTTTTTGGAGTCACGATGTGTTAGTAAAAAAGCGTTGAAGCGATAAAATCCCGATAGAAAGAAGTGTTTGGTGTTGAAGTTCTTACCATGAACTTTCCGAACTTTTTTCAGAAAACTCTCTAGGTTAAGCTACACTTACTACACTTTAAGTGTAACTTATATTTATATTTGTAGTCGTTATTATGAACCTATAAATAAGATTTATCAGTGATTTCAAATCAAAATATTGATTGATCTACTTATGGGAGTGATGTCTAGGCTAGATCTAGTTAGGTATTTAAAGTAGATTTTCCAAATAGTATACCCCGGATACCAAACAGATCCTACCCCCGATATGATATTACCAAGTTATTCCTTATCAGCTAGAACTTGAAGTATTCATTGGGATTGATGAGGAATCTGTAAATAGTTAATATAGCTTTATAAAAATATCAACGAATACAGAGACATAACATATCATCCATATTTAGGTTGTTTAAAAGGGATAAGCTGAAGTATCAGCCGAGGACTAGCTTTCCCGTGGATCTACCACATCAATAAAGTGAGTGCATAGTTATTTTAGCCTATTTATTAAGTCTTAACATAGGTTTTTCTACAAATATTATATTCACATAATATATGTCTAATTTCAAACACATATATTCAAATAATTCTCTTTTGTTTATTGATAAAGGATTACAATCGTCGAACGCCATCATACATATCTTTATAATTAGTGCTTAGCCCGAAACGCAGGGGTTTACATGATGCATGATCAAATTTACATTTATAACGTGTCTTTTTGTGTCTTTTTTTAATCCCACATCGCTTAAGAACAAAAACTGAAGTGAAAACAATCAACTATAAGTAAAGAGGCTAACACATTTCTTATCACACATTGCTTAAGAAACAAAACACATGATAAAACGCACATTTTTATAAGTAAAGAGGAAAAAAAAAATTC